TTCCGTGGCCGCATGTCCATGAAGGAAGTCGACGAGCAGATGCTGAACGTGCAGAACAAGAACTCCAGCTACTTCGTCGAATGGATCCCCAACAACGTGAAGACCGCCGTGTGCGACATCCCACCCCGCGGCCTGAAGATGTCCGCCACCTTCGTCGGCAACAGCACCGCCATCCAGGAGCTGTTCAAGCGCATCTCCGAGCAGTTCACCGCTATGTTCCGCCGCAAGGCTTTCTTGCATTGGTACACCGGCGAGGGCATGGATGAGATGGAGTTCACCGAGGCCGAGTCCAACATGAACGACCTGGTGTCCGAGTACCAGCAGTACCAGGACGCCACCGCTGAGGAGGAGGGAGAGTTTGATGAGGAGGAAGAGGAGGGGTGATGAGGCTGGCTTAAGCCTCCATCCCTCCCCTCTCATCCCCACACCCCCCTCCCACATCTCTTCAACAACAACAACGCGGACTCAAATCACCCTTCAACTTTCCTTTCCTTCATGGACTTGTAGCAAGTGACTCAAACCAAAAAAAAAAGTAGAATCCATGTATTGAATTTCATATATTATTTTCTGTCTTTGCTGTCCACAACATTGTCTTGAGTTGCAGATCATGACTTGAAATGCTGAGGTGTTTCACCTTGTACTATTTGTAACACAATAAATCTTTCTTGACACTTTGTACACAGTTGTGTTTGTCTTCTGTCTGGAAGGTTGCTAAGTTTATTTCATTAGTCAGGTCCAAGTTATTCCTATCTTAGACAGGAGCAGACCAAAGTACACTTTAGAAAGGGACTGACCTTAGGGCATGAAGGAATTTCTATGCAAACAGAAGTAAAAACATCCCCATCTAAGCAGTGTTCCTGTTTCACATGAGTAAAGTCTATGGATATAGGCTGAGTACACTTTTTTTGCCCAGTTTCTGAAAATAATGCTTCTTGCAGTTAGGACTTGTCAGCTAGCTAGAAAAATTAATTTGTGGCTGGCTGAAGTAAAGACAGCCAACTTCCCCCTATGCAGTCAGTCTTGTTCACACAAAAGTGAAGTCTATAGATATAAGATATAGTTGAGTACACTTAGGTTCAGAACTGACAAACTGCAAATTTCTGATAAAGGTCCTTGTTAGGACTTTATTGTTAAGCATAGGGTCTATAGGGTTGGAAAATTGTTCTGTGGCTGGCAAAAGTAAAAGCAGCTCTTCCCCCTTCTAGCCAGTGGTCCTGCTTCGTACGAAGTTCTGAATGCTGACCAGTTTCTGAAAATGAAGCCCCTTGCTGTTCGGCAATGTCTGGCCTGGAAAATCATTTTCTAGCTGGCCATTTCGCGAATTCGAACTCATGACCTGTGTGCCAAAAAATAGACTCCTGTCACTCACCCACTCCTGTCCAGAAAATAATTGATTTTCGTCCTCTAATATCTGCTTGGAGATATTCAGTACTAAACAGTGTCACCAAGGAGGTCAAAATACTTGGTGACATGAAGAACGCACGTAAAATTTACTGGCGAGTAGAACACACAAGTCACAACATCGAAACACTTAGCTCAACAGCGCCACCATGCGTCGAAAAGTCGCACTGCAAATTGGTAAGGTACTAATAATGTGCGGGCCCTTTTGTTGGAATTTACAGCGTTTTGGTTGTGGTCTCTCAGAACATCTCAGATCATTTTAGATACATGTAAATGGTTATAAAACTAATGGTAGCAAGAAAACATTACGACCGTCCACCCCCGATACTCAAGCAAGATTACTCTCCGAGCAGAGGTTTGGGTTTTGGCCTCCTAAGAACCCATGGGTTGGGGGTTGGGGTGGAGAAACTCCGATAAAAGGCCAAAAAAACACGCCATAAATGAGCCAAAACCCAAACCTCTGCTTGAGTAAAGTTAATAGAGTTAATAGAGTTAATAGGTCTTTATCGCGTGTTGAAGTGATTCCGATAGGGGTCGCTTTTACTCGGTCAGGTCCCTTGTTGAAGCCTCATATGCCAAAACAGCATAAAGTCAGTAATCTCCAAGCAGATCCCAGGGTGGCAAAAGACAGTATCAAATTGGCCAGACAGTATCCATTGGCCAGAGAGGGTCCAATACGCCACCCAAGGCGTATCAAATTGGCTCCTCTCTGGCCAATGGATACTGACTGGCCAATTTGATACTACTGATTTTTGCCACCCTAGGATCTGCTTGGAGATTACAAAGTCAGTACATGTATCTAGTAGGCAAGACAGTATACAATAGTCTGTCGATTTCTACCTCCATGGTTGATGTATTGAATATTAGAGAAGTTGACTCAAGTTAGAAACAGATTCATATCTTGAACTTTGCTAGTATTCCAGTTGCAAGTCTCCGTTTCTTCTTCTGAGCACGTTACTAGTATATCTTGACTTGATAGTTTACTGTATTAGTATGTTTATATTGTGTATGTTTAATCTTTGTATTGTTTGGCACCCGAAATCAGCTATGCTGCCTGGGTGGCCAATGTATTGTATTGTTACAATTGAATCAAAATAAAATACTACTATATATTTTTTGAAACGTTGTCAGAGAATATGAAATTGGCATGCATGCAGGCCACTGTTCACCAAGATTTTCCTGCACAAATCATATAATATTCAAGTACCTCAATTATTCTCCAAAATCTTCTCCAAGCCCATTAGTTTTAGTTTGCTCATTATCTTGTCAATACTTCAAAAGTCCTATGTAACGTTGGCGCTGTGGCAGTGGTGGGTACTTCAGTTGCTACTAGTGCTGCATACCGGTTCACTGGACTTGGATCCGGACTTGTAAGAATGTTTAGGTTTAAGTCCAAAAAAACCTATAAGTCAAGAACCGAGTCCGGAGTTATTACCATAAAAGACCATTTCACATACCCCTTTTCTTTCCAAACCACTTAAAACCTTCTGTAGATTGCAAAATCTTTGCTGCAAAATGAAGAAAACATTGCCATTGGGCATCGTCAAGTACTGGCCTCTATGTTATGTGGCCAAAGTTTCACCCAGACAACATTGCAAGGTTGCCAACATGCAATTTTGTATATGCCATGGGTTTAGGTCCAGACTTACAAGTCCGGAACTGAACCTAAACCTCTGGACTTGAATCCGGACCTGAACCTAAAATTGGGTTTAGGTATGCATCACTAGTTGCTACAGCTGCATTACCTTAAAAGGCTTAGAAACTCGTATACAAGTGTCTTCCCGCCACTTTTGATGCACTCCTGACGTCATCACGTTGCCACGGTAACGCGTTGGAGTACATCATGTTACAATTTCATAGTAAGAGGGATTTAGACTCCTGTCTGACCATATGTATGAATGTGTTTGAGTAAGAATTAATTTATTCTTCGATTTTAACCGTCGGAATATCTCAAGCGGTTCAATGACTTATATCGTGAATCACTTGTTCACGTATAAGGCGCTTACGCAAGTGAATAATAACCTTCATCCTGTAACTGTGTTAAATACAAACATGCTATGATAATATTTTCTCTCTTCTTTGTGGATGAACCTATGTTATTGGCGCTGTGGCAGTGGTGGGTACTTGAGTTGCTACAGCTGCATTACCTTAAAAGGCTTAGAAACTCGTATACAAATATGGGGGCGTAATGGTTTTTTGTTGTTGTTGTTTTGCTAGTTGTGCTTATACCGTTTGAATACTTTTGCTTTTAAAGGCACCCAATGCAATTTTAGGGCGGCAATACAGGAACATTCTGTACGACGAAATCTGTCTGCTGATAAAATGTATTACCATTTTCTGTCATTTCTTAGTATTTTTCATCATCATTTCATACTTGAAGCTTTTAAAATAGCTCAAAACAAGCTACACAAGACTAGGAGTCATTTTTTGGTACCACCCGAAATACCACCAAGAAATAGCTAGAACCAGCTTACGATACAAAACAGCAGTTTTCCATATCAGCGACATCGCATTTATGCCTCACAAATATCAGTATGCGAATTATATTGGGATAGTTAAAGAGTTTGACTTGTTCCAACACAAAAAGGGAACTCACCATAAATTTTCGGCTGATCCCGTCAACCTTCGTCAGATTTGTGATGCAGTCGCTGACTTTCCGGAAGTCGGAAACGTGATGACGTCAGGAGTGCATCAAAAGTGGCGGGAAGACACTCCTGACGTATGTCAAAATCAGTATGTCAAAAGAGCGCCTTCCACTTCATATGCAAAAAGATTCTGCGCTGAGAAGAAGCAGTTCAAAGAACGAATTGTGTTGGACGAAATTTTACAACAAAGAGAAATATCTTCACTTCCTACTTCCCTAAATTTCCTGTGCAATTATAAATATAATGAAGCCACTCTTACTACTGAATGTATGTCGTGCCATTCACTGGATCATGATTGAGGTAAACCTTTGTTAACAATCGGTAAGGCCACAACGCCTTAATTTTATGGATGACATCCGCGCGCGCACTGATTTTCACTGTTGTCGAGAAAAAGATCACGTCCTCCGAGGCTCTGGTCTGGCTCTAGGCCTGGATAGTCCATGGTACTTAGCGACAATACGGAGCCGGTGGTAACTCTGGAGGATGGCATCCACAGGGGTGTCAAAGAATTAATCAGAATTGTACGGAATTCATACGATCCTTACTAGAAACATACGAAGTTTACATACAGTGCCGATTCATAAATTCCGCAAAACGCCAGCATGTGCAGGCTTGTTGTGTCTTATACGTCGCTATGTACTGCCGCAAATTCACAATACCAGCTTTGTATACCTGTGGTTTAGTAGCTTTTTTATTTTTGGTAGGACTTTTTTTATTCGCCCGCGAGCACTAGTTTGGTGGTCTTCAGAGGATGTCATCCATAGAATTAAGACGGTGTGGCCTAACGAGCCTTAAGCTAACAAGCAGTGGGAGGTGCAAATGGACGGGATATCCGTGTTTCAAGATTTGAATCAGAACCATTCAAAAACTTTGCAATGGAATAAAAACGTTTTGTGAATTCCGGATCTGAAAACAATTAAAGATGATACCATTTCCTTGTAGGCTGGAGGAAGTGAGGCCTTGTAGGCTGGAGGAAGTGAGGCCTTGTAGGCTGGAGGAAGTGAGACGTTCCACACAGGAACTGGACTTGTCACAACATTCTCTCAGCCTGTACTTAGTTTCTGTCCTACGTCAGATCATACCTTTGGTTGCAGAAATATGAAATGGCAAAACCTCTACGTATTTCCTGTAGGTTTGAAATCTCAGATTTCTTGCTGACGTTAGTTAAACTTGTCAAGAAACCACTTTTATACAATATTTCGTCTTTTCCCCCACATATTTTAGGAACTGACACGTATGTAACAACAAGGACATTTAGAAGCCTATTACGCACGTCTAATTGTGCGATGTTCGTCCAGAACAGCTGATGTCTGTTTTTCCTCTGTAAACTTAAATGAATATCAGTCATTTCTCACTAGCTGGCAGCAGCGGACAGGTCTGCACTGGATGAGGTAAAGGTGTGTTGGACTCTTCAATTTTTTTTACGAAATCTGATGATGACAAAGTCCTGTTCTGAGTGCATAAGGGCCATGTCACTCTAGCCTCTACCAGGCTTCAGGGGGCGGCTGGAAAGAGTAGAAATCGGCCAAAAAGAGAGATAGCATGCTAGGGGAGTTGGTCTGCTAAAGAGAACAGTTTGCCGCTCCTTTCCAGCCGCCTTCCGAAGCCTGGTAGAGGCTTGGGGTGCGGCGAACTGTTCTCTCAACGGACAAACTCCCTTGGCATGCTTATTTCTCGATTTGGCCGATTTCTACTCTTTCCAGTCGCCTCCCCAAGCCTGGTAGAGGCTAATTCAGCGACTGCATCACAAATCTGACGAAGGTTGACGGGATCAGCCGAAAATTTATGGTGAGTTCCCTTTTTGTGTTGGAACAAGTCAAACTCTTTAACTATGGATTCTACCAACACAGATGAGCTTTCATTCGAATATATTGGGATAGGGTTGATCTAACTTTAATACTACAATTTGAAAAAATGACTCCGAAAATATGGTTTTACTAACCTGACATCGCTTTGGGTGCCTTTAGAATGAACAGGGTACTTGGATGATTGTGCACACCTTGATAATGTTAAGATTCTACATACTCACCTGTATGGAAGGGTAAAGATCATTATATCTGTTATGTATCTGTATCGGTATAGCTGCAGGTATAACCGGCATAACACACCAGCTTCGCAGGCACGCGGCGCTGCGGCAGCTGGCTACATTACACCGAACGACTTGTTACAACTAACCTTTGAACGTCTAACTCTAAACATTGTCCAATCATTGCAAAGAAGAAGTTGTATTTCCAGTACATGGAAAATAACAAGCCTAAAATGTCAAGGGAGAATTTAATCCAAATTGTCAAAGATAACGACGTCCGTCTTACCAAGGAGGTTTAAAATTTAAAACATCCTCGGTCTTACTGACAGATACTGAAGCACTTCAATCTATTTGGCATATCATTAAAGTGTTACTGAAATCTAGTCTCATCTATCATTCATATAAAAATTTGATATTCCCTTAAAACAACTATGCAATTTTAAAATCAATTTTCCGACAAAAAATCGCTAAAACGGCGCCCTAAAATTGTCTACTTTGAGCCATCTCGGGGGACTAATTAGAACCAGGCGTGACGTCATTCCGATGAGTCCCCGAAAGGAGAAGCCACTCTTACTACTGATTGTATATCGTGCCATTCACTGGATCATAATTGGGGTATTAACGTAGTCACATATGACGTGAAACGACGTAACAACGCACGTCTAATTGTGCGATGTTCGTCCAGAACAGCTGATGTCTGTTTTTCCTCTGTAAACTTAAATGAATATCAGTCATTTCTCACTAGCTGGCAGCAGCGGACAGGTCTGCACTGGATGAGGTAAAGGTGTGTTGGACTCTTCAATTTTTTTTACGAAATCTGATGATGACAAAGTCCTGTTCTGAGTGCATAAGGGCCATGTCATTCTAGCCTCTACCAGGCTTCAGGGGGCGGCTTGAAAGAGTAGAAATCGGCCAAAAAGAGAGATAGCATGCTAGGGGAGTTGGTCTGCTAAAGAGAACAGTTTGCCGCTCCTTTCCAGCCGCCTTCCGAAGCCTGGTAGAGGCTAAAGCCATTCAGCAGTATGTGGACAGATGAGTATGTGGCCTTTTCCTAGCCTATAGCTACTCTCCAAGCAGAGGTTTGGGTTTTGGGGTTTTTTTTGCATGTTTTTAGGCTTTTTTTATCGGTTTTATCAGTGTTTTTTTTGCACTGGAATTTTTTTTTCACCCAGTGCAAAAAAGAAACCCCGATAAAAAAAACGCGCCAAAAAGGAGAGTAGCCTATACCAGACTTCGGGAAGCGGCTGGAATGTAGCCCGAGTGTCAGCCCGCTCGGACGGTCCGGTCGGACGAAAGCTAAGCCTGTTAGATGCTAGCATTCTCTTTTATATACCGATTGATGCAGAAGAGTGGTAATTCCATTAAGTACTTCTTTGTACTGATTGCATGACCGATTGCATGTACACGGACCAACGACGTGGAGTCCAGATCCTTCCGTTGACCCAGGTACGCTGGACGTAGTCCGCCAGGGTGGTCAGGGCGCCTGCTGACTTCCTCCTCAGCTCTTCTAGTGCTGGTGGAATGGCGGCCGCTGGCAAAAAGTGTCTCACCCATGACCCATGAGTGTACACGCTGGTCCTCCCGGTATGCCGTCTGTAGTCCATACTCCTGTACCTTCCTCCAGACCGCCTGGCACCAATGGAATGCGCACCCTTTCAGTCGTGCACCAGGAAACACGGATGCAAACGCCTGCCAAGCATTCTTGCAGTTCGATGTCAGCAGGCAGTGCGTTTTGCAGTTCTAGGAGTACGGATCGGTAGTCAATCTCGCGTTTGCTAGACATGAAGGCGTACGCGAGGGGAACTTGCTTGATGACGTCTCCACTTCTGATGAACGCGTGCACCGAGAACAATTGGTAGAAAGGGGCACGCACAACCTTGAAGGTAGAGTCAATATACCAACGACGGGCTTGTGCGAGGAGGCGAAGCTGGTACGGGGTTGCAAACAGGATGTGTCTTGCTGACGTTGTTGCGGTCGACACGTCGATGTCCCGAACCAGGAAATCTTCCTGGATGTATTCTT